AGTTATCTCACGTTGTTGCTATGCCAGGACGTATCCAAGGAGGCTCGATGTAGTTTCATCATCATTCACGACACTTTTCTTTTTATATTTCATTTTTTACGGAACAATATAACCGTGACTCTTCGGTAAAGTCACCAGAGTAACACTAAATCCTTTCAGAAACGTATCCACTTTTTTATTAGAAACACCTGCATCGTAGGATGATTAAAAAATACCCCGCATCTTAACTGTTGTTTTTTTTTTTAACTTGACTTCAAGACAAACTTTTTTTTGCTGATTCGAGAATTTTTTGAGAACGTTTGATGTTGCTATAGTATATTTCACTTAGAAACGTTTATCACAAATTCTTATGTAATGATAAAGAAAGAAAGGGAAGTGAAAAAAGGGAAATATAGAATGACTGGGATAGCTCAAATACATAAAAAAAAAATCGGTGTTAAAAGAAATGAAACCCTTTTGAGCAACCTAAATACATTTTGGCAATGCCTCATTCTCTCACTGGATATTATATAAAAATATATATGTGCTTTTAGGGAAAAAGTGTAATTTTGGAGGCCGGATCCGCCCGTCGATTATATTAGTCACGGGTATTAATTAAAGCTGCCGACAAATTTTAATCTTTGTCATATATTTTTTCTTCACAGCTTTCATTGTCGCAGCTGTTTGCGGTGGGTTGCTGTTTAGCATGCTCGTGGTTCTTCTTGTGTGGCGATCGCGTGTCCGGTGTAAAAGTTGCCCTAATGAAAACAACAACCTGCCCGAGAGAACAATATCACGCGTGTCTTTTAAAATCCCACAGCCTAAAATCGAACCGATCCTCATTCCCACGCAGTCACGATATCCACAGAAAGAAAATGACGAGTTTGAACCATTCCTAGATCCTGAGATTTACAGGTAATAATTGCAGACCATTATGAAAAAAACATTCTCTGTAACAGTCGACGATATGAACTCAAGTGGTTCTCGTGATATCCAGAATTATCAAAGTCTTTAAGGTCAATATCAGCCTGTGTCTCGGACCTATTCATTTGGGCAAAACGTGTCACGTCATTTTGCCAAGTTGTGCACAAGCCGTGTCACGATAAGTTTCCTGTGTAATGTCATGTTACAATCAAGTCGCGTGACGCAATGTCACCTGATGCTGTACATTGCCGTGGATTGTGTCCCCTTTGTTGTCATATAATGATCCTTGAACTAAAAATTAGAGGTACTGCCTTTTTTAAATATTTTTATGTGTGTATCGGAAGCACAATTTTAATCAGCGAGATAAAGTGTGGTGTCGTATTGTATCATCGTGTGTCATATCATATCTTATTAATTGGACTGGAGTGTTTTACCGTGAACTAAAACACTTGCAGAATCAATTCGACCCCCACATCCGGGAACTGAGCGGCGTATTTCTTGTATTTGAAACGAGTGGTCATATCGAGCGACGACGTCACGATTCCCGCCTTTGGGCAGCAGGCATCTAGTTTGTATTAATACCCTGTATTTGTGTTAAAGCCAGCTTTTCAATCTTTACCATGTATATTTATTGTCCATAATAAATAGAAACTGTGATCACTCGCTAGCTCTAGATATGAATTTTATGTTCCCGTGGCTAGAACAATATTTCACCAGGTCGCTGCGCTCACTCGTGAGATATTGTTTTTGCCACTCAAACATTAAATTCATATCTTCTCGTCACCTTGTAATATCCTCTACATTTGTTATCGCATTAGTTATTTCATGGTATCATGTTATTTCTTACATTTCATATCAACCTCCTGTAAGCCTTTCGTTATTGATTTTTCTTGTTTTCAGAGAAGAAGTGACAGGGGAAGGATCGCCATTCCAAGGCTCAGCTAGACTCTGTTTCTCTTTATCTTACGACAAATTCAGCGAGGAGCTCAAAGTCTGTCTCATTCGAGCCACTCGTTTAACACCAATCGGAGAAAACGTCACGGTTACACCATACGTAAAGATATTTCTTCTTCCAGACAAAAAGCGAAAAGCTCAGTCAAGAGTGCTGCGCAGAACATCCAATCCACAGTTCCATGAAGACTTTGTTTTTATGGTTTCACCGGTAGATCTACCAAACAGAACTCTTGAATTTACAGTCTGTGAATTCGATCGATTTTCCCGTCAGCAGGTTATCGGTCACGTGAGATATCCTTTAAGAGATGTGAATGATTTGAACTCAGTACAAGGGACAGGAGAGATCTGGGTTGATATCAACAATGAGGATCTAAAGGTTTGTGAGTGCTGACACCGAACCGACTGAGCTCATAATGCGTCGACTAATTCTAAGTTTCAACATCCTTATCTAAGGTACCACCCCCACCCCCGGGGCATCTGAACTTTTGAAGATTGGTTCATTCATCTTCCCGCCCCTTGGGCCCAAATTGTGTTCTTACGCCCCACCCAAGTGCCGGATTTGACGATCAATTTTTTTTTTATGAAAGTAAAGATCAGTGAAATAGAATTTATATTCAATTACTTCACCAGCAATTGATTTGACTATGCAAGCTTTAAAGCCTAGACCATATAGACCTTTTCTTCTGAGCCATACGCTCGCGAAAGTAAACTATTTATCTTTAAACACTTTCTTATCAAAATATAAAACACGCATGTTCCGCTGGAAAGACTTGGCACTCCCGGGCAAGGTTGAAATTCCCCAAATGCCAGTGGAAGGATGTCTAAGCTTCAAATTGATTGGCCCATAGATGACGATTTTTCCACCTGTGATGACTATAACAAAGAAGTATCAATTTGGAATTCTGACCGTCTTTGGCAAACGCTTCAGATCTTCCAGTTTTTAGCAAAATAAGAACCATTTTAGTTTGAACAAGTTTTTTTACCTCTGAGAAAAGAAAGAAATACGAATTTTACGATTCATAGTCTAACCTCGCGCCTTGGTCTCGCTCGTGTTTTTGAAATTGCCAAGGGAGGTGTGGGTAAGGTACTTGACATTGTTAGCCTTTTTCATCCTAACATTAGAATGCATATTCTTCATACTGTTCTCTATACATTTCCTAAGATGTTGACAAGGAGAATTTGTGTCACAATCAAGAGTTTCTTAAATTGGTGATCATTTACTTTAATCCATGACCTAAACATATGATTGAAGGGTTATACTGTAAGGGAAAATCCAGAGCAAGATTCTCTTATGGGTTAAAGGGTTAATACGTTGGTTATCGGTTTCATTTTCAATCATTTTGTGAACAGAGGGTGCAGTGCGCTTCAAACATTTGTTCCTCGACTAATCTGGCATTTCACCCTACGTTAATGAAGAAATTACATCTCGTGAAAGAATAAAAATAAATTGTGCATGCATAGCGCAATGCAGTCACTCAGGGCATTTTGAAGGGAAAGTGTTTTCTGAAGGGAAAGTGTTTTCTGAAATAAAAAACCTCTCGGTCAACTATTATCAGTTCCTAACGAATAATAAATATACATGAACTTCCCATAGATTAAAAACTAGTTTGTTTATGATGTGAGAATTCATTTCGTACTTTTTGTTTCTCTTACAGAGTGGAGTAGACAAAGGGGAACTACTGTTTTCTCTGCAGTATCTACCTACCTCATGTAGACTTACAGTAGCTGTCCTCAAAGCTAAAGAATTAAAATTGAACGGAGAAGACACAGATTTGGGTAAGTTCTGTGACGAAGATCCGAAAATGTGGGTGAAAACCGGCTGGCAGTCAAAGCTTTCTTTAATTTCTTCCTCTAATATCTTAATGCATGCATCAAATTTGAGCAAATATATGACTGTAAATAAATGAAAATCATATATGTGAACTGCGGTTGAAGAAATGAATATGGAAACGATCCTCGCAGCTATGAGCCATGAACGTACGGGATTTGAACACATGCGATAATGGTGCAGCGTTCTACCAACTAAGCTAGTAAGCCAACTGGGAGCTGGTCGTTATATTGGTTCCAAATAGACCCTAGAGGTGAATAAATGACTGTAAATGTATGAGAATCATATATGCGAACTGCGGTTGAAGAAACGAATGAACACTACTTAAGTAATAATAAAAAAAGGCCTGAAAAAAAATGAGGCTCGTATGGGATTTGCACCTATGACCTTTGCGATACTGATGCATAACTGCGAGGATAGCTTC